TAACAGGGAAGGCTTTCGAGGGCATTGACGTTAACCACAGTCTGTAGTTACTATCAGTAACGTCAGGCGTGAGCTGCTCACATATTCTTTCGAGAGTGCTCATCCAGCTCGCTGCTAGGTGACAGTTCTGTAGTAGAACCCAACCACCATTGGCCGCTGCATGATTTATCATCTTAGCCGCCTTAGGGCCTTGACCCTGCCCTAGCGAGATAGCCTCCATTTTCTTCGACATGCTCATCGACTCAGCAAAGGCAAGCACATCACTAGTAGGGTCGCTGCCACTGGACAAGATGAAGATAAGAGGGTTCATATTAGTAGAGTCAGCAAAAGATTTTGAGATATCGAAGGTAGGCGGCTCGACGAACCTCTGGCCCAGTTCTGTAGCCACGAAGCTAACGACTCCAGGGATGACCTCATCCAGTCGTAGAGTCCGGAGGAGGCACAGCTTCTGCAGAGGTGTGAGGAGCTCCTCCCAGGGCTCGGGCAGGTTGAGACTGTGGGCATCCGTGGTATCATATATCTTCCGGAATTCATCAACCTTCTCGGTAATGCTAGCTGCAAGACCAGCACACTCCGGCACTTGGGACTGTAGACCAAGCACTTCATTCCATGTGGCCTTTGATATCCACTCGGCAGGTATGGGCGGGCCAGTCTCGACGTAGTCCTCTGTCGGTCCAGTGAGGAGGAATCTAAGCTCGTTGGCAGGGACACGGTCATCGCCCTGCATAAGCTTGATACACAGGGCAAAGGAGAACATGAGCTTGTCCTTCTCGAAGAGCCCTCGACATACATTCTGGTAGAAGATATAAGTGTTATAGTCTATAAGACTATCCAGTCTCGCATCCAAGTCCGAGACATCGGTCGGCTTCGGGGCCTGATCTATCCCCAAAGAAAATAGCTGCTGGAACCACCTTAATGAGTACTGATACATAGGATCAATACTAGTGAGGCTTACAATACAGAAGAATATAAGGCTACTTCGGTAAGCTACACACCTATAGCTTTCTCTAGCCTCATCGATGTTCTTCTCAGTCACCGCTGCCTCCGCCTGCTTTTCCTGTATCTCCATAGCAGTAGCCTTGGACTGGCAATAGCATTGATGAGAGTATCGTCCTCGAGGACATCCCCTTCACTAGTCGCCAACAGTCTGAGTATCTCATCCTCAATAGCCTTCAGCTG